CACACCACGGCATCGTCATCAGGAAACGAAAGTGCATCCGAGCTGAGGCACACCACGGCATCGTCATCAGGAAACGAAAGTGTTGCTGAGCTCGCAAGCCGCTTCAAAAACGCTTTGTACTGCTCAATCTCATCTTCACTCCACGAAATCTCCACGCCAGCCGCTTGGCGCTTACGGCGACTCAGTCCCTGCATCGCTGCATCGAACTTAGCTTGCAACGGAGCCACAGCCCGTCCATAGTCAACGACCGAGTCTCTTAGCCAATTTGCAGCACATAGGAAACGCTGAAGCTCAGCAGCGTTGAGAGGCAGCGGCAATGACACCAACGACTCAACGCGAGCCGGGTCATGCGTCACTCCATCCCCATCAATAATCTTGCCGCACCAGGTCACCTCTTGCTGATAAAGACAGCTCTTCGTCACGTTCAGCTTCAGATTCAGCTCTCGCAGGCGCGCGAAAAACTTCTCGAGGACCTCCAGATACTCTTCAAAGGTCGACGCAAACAGAATAACATCATCCACGTACACGAGCAAATGGTCATTGATTAGATCAGCGAAGGCCTCTTGCATGGTGGACTGAAAGTGCAGCACCGAGTCCACTCCTCCCTGCGGAACGCGAGTTGGCGTGAACACACCCTCATCCGTCTGAATGCTGAAATATTCACGACTGTCTTCATGCAGCGGTAGCTGACAGAACCCCTTGAACATGTCAAACTTGCCGATGACCTTCGCCCCTTTGACACGACTCGAGACGACGGACAGGTTCGGCACGCTGGCAACAATCGGCACTGTAATGCTGTTCAGGCGACGATAATCCGAAGTGACACGGAATTCCTCACCACCAGCCTTCTGCACAGGGACGACTGCACTTGACCAGCGACTGCCATTATTTGGGTACACATACCCGCTGGCAACCAACTCCCTCATGTAGTTGCTGGTGTACGAACTGGCGAGAGGCGAATAACGCCCAGGCTTGCAGCGGATAGGCTGCGTCCCTTCCTCCAGCGTAACGCGGTATGGCTTCACTCTCGCAGGTTCATCTGCTCCCAGACGCGAACGCCACACATCTTTGTAGTCCAGCACTATGCGCCTCAGAGCCGGCATATCTTCTTCCGGAAAGCCATTTGCACCCGCCGTATTGAGCAGACCGTTGACAAACTCAGTCATCTCGGCGTCGGAGTCACGGCCGATCTCAGGATCACCACGGATATCATCTCCGTCATCACCATCGAGACCACCTCCACTTGCCAACTGCTCCATTTGGCGATCAACGTCGATGCCAAGCGAGATCAGCCCTGGGTTTCCCAGCAAGAACTCTTCTTCATCATCATCGAGAATTACACAGTGAACCCTGCGAAGATGAACAGGTCCAGCTGCCGTACCCAGCATGACGTCCACGTCACAGCACGTGTTGCAGGCAAGGAGATCCCCTCCAACTCGCTCCAGGAACACTGGTATCTCCATCGCAGAGGTGACCACCGGCGATCCACATGCCGCGAGGTCCCGAACAGCACTGGCTGGCAGCACATTGACCTCGGAGCCTGTGTCCGCCCGATACGGCAGCTCCACCAAGTCGTTGACCACCACTTGGTGGTGACCAGGGATACGCCGAACACGAGCAGCCTTGATCTTGGCCACCTTCGACTCACGCAGACGCTGGTAGCACTGCTGCTTCTGCTCCTCCGTAGCAGTTGGACAAAAGCGATCAAGGTGGGGGCCCTTGCAGTAGAGGCACCCGTCTTTTGGCGGCGTTTGGTGGGTCTTGGCCGAGTTGTTCACACCGGGCCTGCTGCTCGGCGACCTCGAGGTTTCCGGCTTCGGCTCCGCCTTCCTGTTGTCCGGCTTCGGTGTCGCTCGGCCTCCGTCCGGTTCCACAGGATGCTTGCGGTCAGCCTTCTCTTCGCGCTCCATCAGGTGATACCGCTGCTGCATCTTGGCGCGGGTGAGAATCAACTGATGCAACGCAATGTCGTCCGTCTTGGCCTCACGATGCTGGAGCGAGACCAACCGCTTGCTCTCGGTTTTTAGCATGGCCGGCGACAGGTTTTCGATAATCAACTTGCAGCGATTCTTCATGCGGTCGCGGTAGTCAGGTCGGTCCGTACCACCGGCCGCGAGCATGGACGCAAACCCGTGCTCCTCGAGGAGCTGGTCAAAGTCGACGAAGTATTTGACGACCCTTGCCTCCACGTCCTGCTCCTTCAAGTCCATTCTCAGGTGGGTCTTGAAGAAGTCGAAGATGTCCGGGATGTGCCCGTTCATCACCTCGGCGACTCGCTCCTTTATCTTGTCCATGATCGCTTGGTCAACCAATCGTGTCGCGGTCTTGTCGGAACACGTAGCGGGCCAGGTAGTCGAGCAGCTTCGGCTTCACAGAAGCGCGCACACTCCGCAGCACCGAGGCCACTGGCTCTTGGCTGATGCGGCAGCGCTCTTCAATCGCCTCACGATAGCGGCGGCGCTCACGCAGCCACTTGACGAGCGATTCTTGGTCCCTTGACGCGAGCTCAGGCGCGCTGATCAGCTCGTACACGGACGGCAGGATCGTCATCTCGACGTCCCCGTCGGCGTCGACGCGGAAACTCGGCATCCGTGGCTTGAGTCTTCTCCCACTTGTAGAGCGGTCCCGGGTCGATTCTTGGTCCAGCTGGAAACTTGGCACTCGCCAAAGTTAACTTTATGACGACCAATGCACTGAGAAAGCAAATTGAATTCTGAGAGCAACGCAAAACATGAAAGCGGCGCTAGCTATCCTTCCGCACCCTGCTGCTAGCCCTTCTTGGCGACTTACTGGGTACCTTGGCGTCTTGGGATCCAGCCATGCACCTTGAAGTCCAGCCATCGTGCTGGGCACCGGAGATTCTTGTTTGATACCGTTTGAGTCTTGGGATTCTGCCAGATTCCCCTTTACCTTGCTAGCGTCCTGAGTAGAATCTTGAGAGACTGGATCGCATCCTGGCGCCAGGCTGCCACCAGTTGCTGGGTGTGTTTGAAGATTCACAGCGCCACAAATGTTCACTTTGCTTGAATTTATTCCTAGCTAGACCGGGCAAAGGTGTAGATGCCGATGAATCCAGCTGGTCAGGTATGAGCTACCGGATTAATCAGACCAGGGATTCCAATTGCTCCTTAACTCTGAAATAAATTTCAGAGAATTAATACAGATGCGGTGGGTTGGCATCATTTTTCTGCTCGTGATGCCACGTTTTTTTTATAATCTGTTTACCTAAGATTTAGTAAAAATTTGTAGCAAACGTGGCATTTGGATAAAAAAAAATCTTTTTCAAATAAATCATGGTCTCGAGTCGTAGGGAGACAGGAACCACCACAATTTACCATCACAGTATAACGCCTGCGGTAGTCCCTTACGGTGTGCCGAGCTTTGTTTTCGGAGTCAATTTCATAGTCTACATCTACATGTAGTGGATTTTGAATTTCTTTTAGTCGAAACCCATGGCAAATTAGTCTCTATGGACACAATGTTAGATGTGCACGCTACCTTGTCAAGTCGGAGTACTACTAAATTTCTTGATCTGGCAACCAAGTGAACTTGAATGTGTAGTCAAACCCTGCAAAAAATTAAGTGAAAGTTAGAGTCTCCTCGTAAGGCGTAGAATTCTGAGAGGCAGATTCACCTGTATGTTGCAGTGAGGCCTCGGCGTTGTAAAACAACCAGAACACGAAACTTAACTGAACCAAGTCGACCTGCTTTTCGAGAACAAACGATATCTGTCGAGCCGGTGAATGGCCCAGGATGCGTCTCAGCAGCAGCATTAGCACCATCAGCGACACAAGCTGAAGTAGACAGTATAGTATCACATTCTTCAGTGTTTGGAGCAGCAAAGTCTCGTCCATCCCGTCAAACACCGCATAATATTCCCGATTGGGCAGGTGGTACGTAGCAAACAAGTAGAGCGCTAGAAGTACAAAAAGTTGCAAACGTCAAATTCTAGATCATCGAAAAAAATGCGGAGCAATACTCACAAACGATGAGCGGAATAACCACCTCAACGTAATTGAGGAGGAGAAGAAACTCTGCCATGTGCAACAGTCGTCGCGCCTTGAGCGTATACCCGGCACGGGCTTTCGAGAGATTTCTTCAATTGCCTCCGCGATTGGGTGGACGCGATTCGTTCTCTGATCTACCGCAACCGTACCGGAGACATCATCTGACGCCAAAAAGAAGTCATGATCGGGGAAAACTGGAGAGAAGTGAGCATCCAGTGCAATCTCTGACTGCAGCTGCTCTTTCTTCATCCATGCGCTAACTCGTGTTAGCGCTGTCGATGCGGACACCACTGTGCTCTCGTTAACATCAGAGCTTCGGCACATATTTATTTGCTTCTTGTCCACAAGGTGTTCTAATTCCGCCAAGCCAGTACGCGCAATCAGGATATCTCGCAGCGATAGGCCAATTTGCAAAATGTCAGCGAGCATTAGCGCCATGGTCGTACGAAACGACGGGGAGCTCTGCATGCAGTACGACACGAATAGAGAGCTGAAGACGTCTGCGTTGAAAATCACGAGCTCGGGGATTTCGTCGCCTAGATGGGCAACGGCCTTTGCGAAGAGGTTTTCGCATCAACACTTTGATAATTGGAAGCAGCAGCGAGAACCCCACTTGGGCCTTATCGGAGAGGGTCGTGAAGACGTAAAAATACGGAGGGTAGATGAAGACCATTAGAATCTCGTACATCCACAACTTGAACATGCTAGACAGCATTGCCCTTGCCCCGGGGGTATCTCGAATAACTCTCGCCCTCTGAATGGCCAAGCAGAGCGAAATCAACACAGACCACGGGGACATCATCACCAAAATTGTGAAGGGCAGCGGGAAGCCAACAGACAGCGTGACTGCGTAATATATCCCCAAGGTCAGTGTCGCTACCACGATCGTGTCCCTCAAAACATGCCCATTGTTGTATGGTAGTGACGGCACGCCGATTCGGATCTGCTGGATGGCTATGAAGGTCACCAGGAGGTAGTTGTAGTATTGGCGCACCATGAAAGCGTTGTTGTTCTC